CTTTCTTTCTTTCTTTCTTTCTTTCTTTCTTTCTTTCTTTCTTTCTTTCTTTCTATGTGTATATGAGAGAGAAACAGACAGAGAAAGAGAGAGAACCAACAAAAGTTTTCAGTTCATTTTCGCAAAAACCAAACACACAAACAAAAATCGCTGAGAACCTAGGAGTTTGAAAGATCTTGCCTTGGGATTTGAGGACCACCATGAAGGTAAGAAACCAGGCCAAATCCCAAAAGGATGGAAACGTGTTTGTGAATCTGTCGGTACCTTCCCCATCCTGGGATAAACTCCTGATTTTATCTTCTTCTCTCTAACAAGGAAGGTTCCCTCAGACCTCCTACCTCTAATATCTGTATATCCTAGGAAGTCAGCTAAACTGGTGACCAGAGACCTGTGAATATGGGCTGGAGAGATAGCTCAGCATTCAAGAGCACTGGCTGCTTTCCTAGAGGGCCCAGGTTCAGATCCCAGCACCCATGTGGCAGCTTGAAACTATCTGTAGGGGGGTAGAGAGATGGCTCAGAGGTTAAGAGCACTGGCTGTTTATCCAAAGGTCCTATTCCCAGCAACCACATGGTGGCTCATAACCATCTATAATGAGATCTGGTGCCCTCTTCTGGTGTGTAGGCACACATACAGGCAGAGTATTGTATAAATAATAAATAAATCTTAAAAACAAATCAAAACCATCTGTAACTGCAGTTTCAGGGGATCAGACACCCTCATAAATACATGCAGTCAAAACCAATGTACATAAAATAAAAAATTTTTAAATCATTTAAGGAAGGAGAAAGAGAGACCTGTGAAGAACACTTCTACACATTTTTTCTTTCCTTTTTTCATTCATTCATTCATTCATTCATTCATTCATTCATTCATTTATTTTGAGGCAGGGTCTCTATTATTAGCTCTGGCTGTCCTGGAAATTGCTGTGTAGACCAAGCTGGACTTGTATTCACAGAGACCCGCCTGTCTCTGCAGGTCTGAGTATTAAAGGCTTTCATGCACCACCACACCCAGCCCAACAAACTGTTTTAAACTAAAATTGGATTGGGGTTAAACTTCTCCTCTCTCCCTCTCTAGATGCTTAGAAATCTCCAACTGATAAAAGCGACTCTGAGCTCAAATGATGGAATTCCTTTCCTGGTTTCTTTATTTTGTTAACTGGGACCTCCCACTGAGGCCAAAGAAACTGATTTAGCCATGCTACCTAATGAAACAAGGGTCTAAAGGTCCACCTCTAATCTGTAAAATATGTAGGCAGAGAGCTTCCCTTATCAGGGAGCTGGGCTCTCTTTAAAAGCAATCATGAGCCAGGTGGTGGTAGCAACCTTTAATCCCAGCAGAGGCCAGCCCGGTCTATAGATTGAGGTCCAGGCCAGCCTGGTCTACAAAGTTCCAGGACAGCCAGGGCTGTTACACAAAGAAACCCTGTCTCAAAAATCCTAAATAAATAAGAGCTATATGGAGGCTCTACTCCACTTGACAGGAGCTATAGGTTACTAACACACACACACACACACACACACACACACCAAACAAACAAACAAACAAACAAAAACAAGCCATTATTTAGATGGGAGAGGAAGAAAAAAACCAAAACAAAACCCAAACTCTAATTCTCTCAGAATGCACGTCATCCTAACCTTGATCTGTTAGGCTAAGGTTAGGATGAACCCAAAGTGCCCCTCCGCGCAGTCTGCCCCTATGCAGGTGGCTCTGAGATTTCTCTACTGCTACATGTACTTCTTTTACTGGCAGAGAAAACAAACCCAACCCAAACTCCTAGACTGTATCAATGCCACAAATCTCAAAGAAACACATTTCATTTGGTTTTAAAATAGGGTCTCACTCCTCTTGCCGCAGCCTCCCAGAGCGAAGTGGAGGAGTGAGCCACCAAATCCCAGAAATCTCACCATTTTTAAAATAAAGTAAGGGTGGTTTAAAGGGGGCCTTCAAACCCAGCATAAGATAGCCACCGCACTCAAAAAAAACAAAACAGTAGCCAGGTATGGTGGCCCATGACTTTAATTCCAGCACTCAGAGGCAGGAGGATCTCTGCAAACTCAAAGCCAGACTGGCTACATTGTGAGTTTCAGGACAGGCAGGCATACACAGTGAAGCCCTGCCTCAAACAAACAAACAAACAAACAAACAAACAGCCAGGCTTGTTGGCTCACACCCCTAATCCCAGCACTCAGGAAGCAGAATGTGGTGAGATGTCTCTTAGCTCAAAGCCAGCCTGGTCTACATAGCGTTCCAGGTTGGTCAGAGCTATACAGTGAGACCCTGTCTCAAAAATAAAACAAAGCAAAGAACAAAACAAAATACAACCACCAACAACAGAAAACACACCACATCATTAACAACATCAAAAGTAGACTGGTTTCTAGGCATGAACTATTAGAGTCAATTTCTTTGTTCCTAGCTTAGTATAACTCATAAATCTGATTTAAACACTAAATCTAATCCAATTGTTTTCCTCAATTAGTGATGAATTTAAAAGATTTTCATGTTAATAGAAACAGATCTTTCATTTCCTTTTAAATTCCACAAAACACTCCTAGCTTTTTCCCTTTGTTTTGCTAAATGAACCCCTGTACTCACAAGAGATACAGGACCCAACCACTTCCTATTTACTGGAACCATTTAATTTCTCAATTAGCCTCTGGCTGTGGCTAGGGATGATTGTCTGCTTCTCTTCCCCACAACGTACACAAACTGTTCACTTTGGAGCAGCTGCATTTTACCAGGTAAGTTTCAAAGACAGGACAGATGGCCCTTCACATGGGCCTCTACTATTTCCCACAACTCACAACCACAGATTTGTAGATTTGTCACAAAGAGGAGACAGACACCAGCATATCACTATTAACTGAACTCCACATTTTATTTGGATCTTACGTGGTTATTTTGGTGGGGCTGTGGTGTTGGGAGTGCAACCTGGGCCCTCCGCACTTTAGGCATGCCTGCTTTCCACGCTCCGAGCACAGAATGTATTTCTTTCAGGGTGTAAGACTGTGGAAAAGCTTATGCAGGGAGGGTCTGGGACAGAAACCTAGCCTTTGGCATCTGGGGCCTTCCTTCAAAATGTTCCTGGCAGGGCAGAGGATGTAACTCATTAGGAGTGTAGTTGAGTATGCAAAGCCTGGGATTAAACTCCAGAAACCCAGAAAAAGCAAAAACTTCCTTTCTGCAACTTGTTCTCCTGGTTTTTGGTTCTTTTCCCAGGTCATCTGCCCCAACTCTCCTCTCCTGTCACCTCCAGTCAGCGGCAGGGTAGAACAGAAAGAAACACTCTTGGCTGGGTGATGGTGGTGCCCTGTACCTTTAAACCCAGCACTCAGGAGGCAGTCAGGCAGATCTCTGAGAGCTCGAGGCCAGCCTGGTCTACAGAGTGAGTTCCAGGACAGCCAGGGCTACACAGAGAAACCCTGTCTGAAAAAACAAGACAAGCTTTATCAAGCTCCTCACGATTCTGAACCTGCCTTCATACCTGAAACCTGGCATGGAGTTTCCAGTGCACAGTGAATACACAGCAAGCTTTCTTTCTTTCTTTTCTCCCTTTGTTTCTTTCTTTCTTTCTATTTATTTAGCTTGCTTGCTTTCTTAGTTAGTTAGTTAGTTAGTTAGTTAGTTAGTTAGTTAGTTAGTTAGTTAGTTAGTTAATGTGTATGAGTGCTCTATCTGCATGTACACCTGCACTCCAGAAGAGGGCATCAGATCACATTATAGATGGTTGTGAGCCACCATGTGGTTTCTGTGAATTGAATTCAGGACCTTCGGAAGAACAGCCAGTGTTTTTAACCACTGAGCCATCCATCTCTCCAACCCCCTTCTGCCACAGTAAGCTTTCAAATGTTCAAATGTTCCAGGGTGGAATCCTCCAGCAGGATCTTCTCTTATCTATGTGGTCATAACGGGGTCTACACACAATCTAGAGACCAAGAGTCATCCTTTCTGACCAGGGCCTGGGATACTGCAGGGACCAACTCAGGGCTACATGGCTGACCTCAGTGGTATCATTGTAGGAGGGTCCCTGAGCAAGCAAGCAAACAAGCAAGGAATAGTTCATCTGCTAGTCCTGAAAGGCAGGGAAAGGCCAGTACTAGAGACATAACATGCTCTTTTGTTTCTGGTTTAAATTCGTGCATCCTTAGCTGCCTAAGTGGACCCTACACCTCTGACCAGAGGCAGAGAAGACAATGAGGGTGGGAGCCTGACCTTTGCCAAGTATCAGCTATCCCCAGGCTGAGATGGGGCTATATATACCCACTGGTTCAATTGAGGGAAGAGGTCAGCATCCCAAAGTTGAGGCGGGGTGTGTGTGTGTGTGTGTGTGTGTGTATGTGTGTGTGTGTGCGTGCGCGCACGCTCATTTCTTCTCACTATACTCCAGCCCCATTCTGGAGAAAT